ATGGCCCAGGTGGCCCAGCCTCTGTGACAGTTCCCTCAGAGTTCTACAACCAGAGCAGCTTCAAGGCTGCTGGCTGTGATGGTCCAGCCTCACAAATACTCCAGCCAAGACGTAACAATTATCCTGATTTTCTCAAGGTTTTCCCAAAGATACCAGTGCCTATAAACAACAGGAAGTATTCTAGAGGATGATGTCCACATTCCCAAGAGATGAGGTATGGATGGGTTTTGGTTATTCAATGGATTATGGTTATTTGTCATTGTTTAGGGGAGTTGATTATAAGTTGTCATTGGTCACAGTCAGGAAAAAAGCTAAACAAAAGAGTAAAATTCAAAGATCTCTTTTTAAAGGAAAAAAGGGAGATATGATATAGAAATGATGAGATAAAAGGGTAGATTATTGAATCTACTTTAATCCAAAAAACAACTATTAATCTCAAAATGTTTTACATTGGTATAGATTTTGGTTTATTGATACAAATTTAAAGTTATTTTTGTTGGTTTGTTTGTTTGTTTTGGTTTTTCAAGACAGGGTTTCTCTGTGTAGCTTTGGTACCTGTCCTGGATCGAGCTCTGTAGACCAGGCTGGCCTCGAACTCACAGAGATCCACCTGGCTCTGCCTCCCAAGTGCTGGAATTAAAGGCGTGTGCCACCACCACCCAGCTAAAGTTATTTTTGTTATAGATATTATGTTTCTACTCTTGTTTGGGGCATTGTGCTTATGCAACTCATTTAAAAATGTAATGTATAATTACAAAAATACAGGTTAGTAGTTAGTCATCTTTAATAGCCAAACATAATCATGTTAGGTACGTTTTCAAGGTCATACACACACACACACACACACACACACACACACACACACACACACACACTTTATTTTCCGAGGCAAGGTTTCTCTATATAACAGTCCTGGCTGTCCTGATATACACAGATATTTTAGATAGATAAATGGTCTTCAAATACTCCAAAAACCTACAGAATATGACATTTAATATGTTTAATAACCTAAGGCTTTTCATGACAGTGAGATATGTCTGCTCCTGGCAGTACCAATCTACTTCAGAAAAGATGATGGGCATCAAAGAAACTTCATATGGAATTGGCTTTCTTTGTGGCAAACGTATGCTGTCCAAACTAGACTAGCAGGACAAACAAAAAAGTGACTGCCAAACTTTGCCAAGACAAGGTAGACAGTCCTTCAAAACTCCCTGCTTCTCAAAAATGTCTGTCAGATCTAATAGGCCTGTAGGGCTAAGTTGGATGCCTGAACATTACAGAAGAACCTTGGGTGACTGTCCAGGCAGCCAGATGTCCCTGTCATTAGGTAACATTTCACCCTTCTGGGGTCTTTGATGAATTTGAAGGCTAGATAGTCATAGTTAAAGTTTTCCTTAGTTATATAATAAAAGGTAAATTAGGTATAAAACTTTAGACTCACAAAGATAAATAATAGAGTATTTTCTCTAAATTTGCCAAATATAAATGGACTGAATATTGTAACTGTAATTCTTAGTTGATAACAGTTTTTGTTTTATATAATTTTACTATGTTAAAGTTAAAACCTTCCTTTTTAATTAGACAAGAAGGGGATATGTGGGCCATTCCTTTACACTGTGTGAACATATGTCACTGTGACTGGTTTAATATAGAAGTGTCTGGCCTACAGCTAGGCAGCATAAGGTTAGGCAGGAGAACAAGACTAAGGATGCTGGGAAGAGGAGGGCAGTCTCGGGAGTCGTGAGGAGACATAAAGAGAAGCAATATAAACCTGGTATACTGAGAAAAGGGACCAAGCCACATGGCTGAGGGTAGATAAGAAATATGGCTTAATTTAAGTTGTAGGAGCTAGTTAGTAACAAGTCTAAGCTATTGACCAAGCATTTATAATAATAAGTCTCTGTGTGGTTATTTGGAAACTGACTGGTGGAACAGAAAAGTCCGCCTACAGAAAGGAGAAAACCAGCTCCTGCAAGTTGTCTTCTAACGTCTACACACCTGTACACACACACACACACACACACATGCACACACTCATCCATACACAAAACAAACAAATGTAATTAAAAACATCTGGCACACAGATTACAAGCCCAGTGCCACTTTGAGATCTTTGGCAGCAATTAACCATGCAGCTCACACAGGATTGAGCCGGTATGATTATTCAGAGATGGGTAATTCCTGGGGGGCACTCACCAACCTAAGACAGAGCACCTGTGTGTCCTGGACAGGCGTCTCCATGACGGGTAAGGTGACCTGCTGACGTCCCACGCAACCCAAGTCAGAAGCTCATTTTTTAATAAAAGGGGGACCTGCAGGGCCCTGGCCCCTGTTTTGGGTAACTGTTGCCTTGCTTGTGGACCTTGACCTTGATATCTTCCCAATGCTAATTCCCTGCCAGGTTCCACCCTCCTGAATGCTTAAGGGAAGTTCTTTGTCTGTGTATCCTGAATAATGGGCGTTAACAGCTTAGATGCAGGATTGTAAAACATCAGTAGCGAACTTCTGCCCTCCGGGGTCCTCCCATTGTGCTGTAAGCCTGTATTTAAGACCTCCTACCCCCTTCAAGAAATGACATTCGACATTTAAAATTAAATATATATATAATTGAATGAATACTGCAAATGTAATCTATGAATACCACAAATGTGATTAATATCATGAGTGTAATTTTAAAAATAAATTAATTAATTAAAAAAATCTTGAAAGCTAGGCATTTCTGGACATGGTAGCACATGCCTTTAATCTCAGCATTCCAGAGTTGTAAGCAGGTGGATCTCTCAGAGTTCCCGACCAGTCTGATCTACATAGTGAGTTCCAGGACTACAAAGTAAGATGCTATCTAACAAATAATAATAATAATAACAATAATGAATAGGTGTTAAATCCAGATAGCACTGTGTCTATACCCCAGCACTGGGTTGTGAAGACAGAGATCCCAGGATTGTGCTGGAAGCCAGCCTAGCTGAAATGGTGAGTGCTTGGGTCAGTGAGAGACCCTGTCTCAAGGCAATAAGATGGAGAGTGACAGAGCAACATACCCAACATCTTCCTCTGGCTTCCACATGATCTCACAGGGCACACACAGCAGCACCCACATGTTCATACATCATTACACATGCATGCACACATGCATGCACACGCACACAGGAGATAATGAACCAGTGCTTTGTACATGCTAGGCAAGCACTTTCCCATTGAGATACCTCGCAGGCTCCCCTTTATTTTTCTGAAGTAGGATCTTGCTTATATTGCCAGGGTTATACTTGCTCTATTGCCTAAGTTGTCCTCAAACTTGCAATTCCCTTGCCTCAGCCCCCATTCCCACAATGTAGAGTTTACAGGTTAGCACCATTATGCTTGGCTGCTACCAATTTTTTTGAACAACCCTTCCAACTCCCCTCTCCCTCTCTCTCTCCTCCCTGTCCCTGTCCCTGTCCCTGCCCCTTTCCCTCCCCCCACCACCTCTCTCTCTCTCTCTCTCTCTCTCTTGGGTTTTGCTATTTGGCCTGAGCCAACTTCAAATTCACACTCTTCTTTCTCCTGTGTACTGGGGTTACAGGCATGCGATATCATACTTTGGCCACTTCAAAAACCATTTTAGGGCTGGAGAGATGGCTCAGAAGTTAGCAGCACTGGCTGCTCTTCCAGAGGACCCAGGTTCAATTCCCAGTACATATAAATGGTACACAAATATACATGGAGATAAATCACCTACACACATAAAATGAGTAAAAATACTTAAAAATTAAAATTGGCCGTGCATGGTGGCATATTTCTTTAATTCCAGCACTTGGGAGTGAGAGGTAAGTGGATTTCTATGAGTTTGAGGCAATCCTGATCTACATATAGTGAGTTCCAAGCCAGCCAAAATTACATAGTGAATCCCCATTGCATAGATAGATGAATGGATGGATGGATAGATAGATAGATAGATAGATAGATAGATAGATAGATAGATAGATAGATAGATAGATAGATAGATGATTGATAGATAGATAGATGATAGATAATAGATAGATAGATAGATAGATAGATAGATAGATAGATAGATAGATAGATAGATAGATAGATAGATAGATAAATGGGGGCACAGGAGATGGTTCAGTTGGGATGGTGGTTTGAGTGAGAATGGCCCCATTGGCTCCTTTATTTGAATACCTGATTCCCAGTTGGTAGAACTGTTTGGGAAGGATTAGGAGGTGTGGCCTTGTTGGAGAAAGTGTGTTGCTTTGGGTGGCTTTGAGGTTTCAAAAGCCCAGGCCATTCATTCCCAGTTAGCTCCTCTCTCTCTCTCTCCCCTCTCTCTCTCCCCCCTCTCTCTCTCTGTGCCTCTTGTAAGCTCTCGGTTACTGCTCCAGAGCCTGCCTGCCTGCAGTTATGTTCCCTGCCACGATGGACAGACTCATCCTCTGACACTAAAACCCCCAATGAATGCTTGGGCTGCACAAGGACAATGGCAGACTAGGAGCTCCAAGGGGCTGGTCCCCCAAAGTTCGAGTCCACACACACTTGCACCTTTCTCTTTCTCTTCTCTCTCTTCCCCATCTCTGGTCTCTCCCTCCAGGATCTCACCACGTAGCCCAGGCTGGCCTACAACTCAGGCCTGCCTCTGCCACTTGAGTGCTGGGATTAAAGGCGTACACCAGGCAACTTCCTCTGTCCTGCAAAGGCACCACAGCAGAGCCGAGCAGTGGTGGCCGCCACCCTTAATCCCAGCACTCGGGAGGCAGAGGCAGGTGGATCTCTGGGAGTTCGAGACCAATCTGATCTACAGAGCAAGTTCCAGGACAGCCAGGTCTACACAGAGAAACCTTGTGCCAAAAAAAACCAAAAATTGATGGATTGATGGATTGATTGATTGATTGATTGATCAAATAAACTAAATAGGCACCCCAGCAAAGCACGGGCTTTCCTAGCTAACTCCTCTGTGGAAGGTGACTTCCATGGAGTGGGTTTAGGGTGGTAGCTTTGGTGTCATCCTCACGGGGAAGTCTTACCTGGACTTGCATTTGACGTTCCCTTTTGACATCAATTAACTGTTTCTGAAGAGATTTTATCTCTCTTCTTCCTTTTTCCTCCCTAAAAGAAGAAAGAATGTTAAGAACAGGGCTTCTCAAATGTTAGGATCAGCTGGACATTAAAAAGATCATATTCTTGTCAGGTGATGGTGACGCACACCTTTAATCCCTGGTCTCGGGAGGCAGAGGCAGGCGTATGGCTGAGTTCCAGGCCAGCCTGGTCTACAAATGAGTTCCAGGCAGGCAGGGCTACACAGGGAAACCTTGCCTTGGAAAACCAAACGAAACAAACACATAGTAGGTTGTTGGGCTGGAGACATGGCTCTGAGTCAAGAGAAGAGGACCTGAGTTTGATTCCCAGCATCCATGCCGAGCAGATCACAGACACCTATAACACTAGCTGTTAGCATGTAGGCATCTGTACTGGCCTGCCCTCAGGGTCCTGACAGGATACCCCTCAGCTGCAGCCACGAAGAGCACCCCCTGTGTGCATTCACTAGGTTTCCTTTCCTTCCGGTCTCTTCCTCTTCCTTCGCTCTTGTCCCCAGGGTCCAGTCTCTGCCCCTTCTCTCCCCTCCCCTCAATAAACCTCCCATGTGGGCCCTGTTGTATGGTGTGACTCCTTCCTGCTGTTTTTAAAATACAACACTAGCTACAGGAGATCCATGAGTCTCTTCAGGACTCTGCAGGCACCTGTACAAAACACACACACACACACACACACACACACACACACACACACACCACGTAATAGAACAATAATGCAAATAAATCTTTAAAAAACACACAGGTTCTTGGGCCCATTCTATGGCTCAGTGGCTGAAGGTGCTTGCTGCCAAGACTGACCACCTAATTAGAATCCAGAACCTACATGGTGGAAGGCGAGAACTGAGTCCCACAAGTTGTTCTGACTTCCACGTGTGCTCAACAGCACACCTCGGTGCACATGCTCACAAAAGCACTCAACTGATAAATAAACAAAATGCAACAATAAGAAATCGGGTTCTCAGGCTAGGATTGATATTGGCCAGCTGTAATTTGGGCACTTGGTAGGTAGGGGCAGGAGGACAGGGAATTTAAATCCAGCCTAGGCTACCTGGGCCACCTGAAACACTGCTTTAAAAATTAACAATAGAAAAGTAATTAATTTTTTTTTCCATCACAGGCAATTTATTTTGTTCTATTCATTCACAGTTAATACAGAAAATACTTGGAAACATTTCCATATAATGTTTGACACAGAAATCATCAAATAGAAGTATACAATATTGACAGGAGGCAGTACATTTATAATTTATAA